ACAAAATAAATGGTAAGAAACTAAGAATATCCAAAAAAAAGTATCTATAAGGTAAAATGTATCTATGAAGTCACTCATGTATTTTGAAAATTTATCTCATATTTTTCCCAATATATTTTTATTATATTTTCATCACACGATATATATATTTTTACATTATTACAAAGTTTTTGTTTTTTTCACCTCTTAAAGTTACATTTTTATTTAAATAACGATTTGTAAATCAATTTTATATTTTTGTGTCAATACTTTTAACGTGTTTTTTAAAAGTTGGATGAAAGCTTAGTCTCCTCATTCATCCAAGTTTCCTCATTGCAATATTTTTGAAATCACATTCAAGACAATCATACGCTTTAATCATATATGTTTTAACCCACATCGAACTATGCTTCTCCGCCTTTGAGATTTGTCCGTGTGAATTAAGAAAGTGGCATCTTTGATCTCCTCTGGGGATGGTTCTATGATGAGCTACTGGTTTGTTTCTTTTGAAGTTTTTGTTTGAAGAGCATAATTGACGGTGTTTTCGTGGACTGAACCGGAGATTTTTTTGAAGTAGGTTTCAATCACCAAAGTGATTTCTTCCTTTGTATACACCAAAGTCCCACCTTCATCTTCAATAACAAAGACTGTATAAAGTTCTCCGTCCTCTCGTAAGTGCATGAAAATATCTCGTATTCCTATCCCCTAGGCAAAGCCATTGTAGTCGGCTCCGTTAACGCCACTAAGATTCTTCAGCTTTATACGCTTCTTTAAGGTGGTGGTTGAGGTTTTGAATGAGAGGGTCATCATATAGAGGGCTTACCATTGCTTCTTCTTCTAAAGCTTGCTTCATCTCTTTGATTTGTCCTTGACTGTTTTTATGCCTAATTACTTTTATTCCAATCAATTCGAGCTCGACGAACCATTCGATTCTCTGGTTTATGGTTCTATTTCATGTCTTCTGCCAAGTTTTCTTGACCAACCCGTGGACCTCTGGATTTTTCTTCTACCTTCTATCATGCCGAAACATGCTCTTTCTTTTCCTTTTATCCGGTTCAAATTAAGAGATTAGTTGTTTATGATCCGACCCCTCAAGCACAACTAGCTTTTGGGAAAGATTCAGACCACAAACTGTTAGCTATTGCTCTGTCTAGTCTGCATCTTACCCAATGATCATGACGTTTTCCTTTTCAGAATAAAGGATCTCGCGTATGTTGTAGGTCAAATAAGTCATTCTCTCATAGAAAATATCAAAAATCCATGAAAGACCGTTCTGGTCTTGTCGTTCCTCCTTCTTTCTCCATGTTAGTTGTTGTTATGTCGTTGAAATCTCCAGTGAGATACCATTCTTTGTTTCGCAGAGTAGCTATATTTGGTACTTGTTTCCACATCTCTCTTCTTTTGATCTTGTTTGTAGCCGCATATAAGAAAGTTGCAAAGTTCTGTATCTTCTTTGCAGAAGAGGGAAAACCCAACAGCTCCATGACCGTGAGGAGGAGCCAAACAACTATGACCATATCCTATCCAAAAAGTCCATGGATTTGCTAACAGATCCTCTTGGTTTGTCCTAGAGATAGATGCAGCTAATTGCCTAGTTGTTACTTGAATGTGATTTCATAGATATCGCAATGAGGAAACTTGGGTGAATGAGGAGACTAAGTTTCATCCAACTTTTAAGAAATATGTTAAAAGTATTGACACAAAAATATAAAATTGGTTTACAAAATTAAGATCCTTATTTAAATAACAATATAACTTTAAGAGGTTAAGAAAACAAAAACTTTGTAATAATGTAAAAATATATATCGTGTGATGAAAATATAATAAAAAATATATTGGAAAAAGTATGAGGTAAATTTTTAAAATAGATGAGTGACTTCATAGATACATTTTACCTTATAAATATTTTTTTGGGTATTCTTAGTTTTTTACCATTTATTTTGTTAAAAAATATATATATTTTGCCATTTCTCATAAATTTTCAATTTCTCGTTCGACCGAACCACTTAAACGGTTTGGTAAAAGAAATTTAAAATCTGGTTTGTGTAACTGTAATCGGATCGAGGCCGGTTCAGTGTCTAGGTTTAACATACTCTCACTCCGAAGTCTAACTCTCTCTCTCAACTTCGACGTCGATCTCGACTTCATATCCCATTTTGGTCTCGGGATTGACACAAATTTTGGGCCACTTCCAATCGGAATATCCCTCAAGGTTCAATCGNAAAATCCTGGTAACAATTCTCCGATCTGATGCTTGTGTGATTGTTCTTCGAACTAGCTAGTTNTCGCTTATTAGTGTGAAGCATGTTCTTTTCTTTTATCTTATAATCTAATTGATCATTAAGGGTTGTTGTTGTTACTCTGTATATGATT